GCGGTTCGTTGGGATCCCTCTTCTTCTTCTTTTTCTGCGATTTTGGTTTCCTCTGACTTTTTGCCGCGGCGTCGCTCGGTTCCGGCGAGGGTCTCTTAATGCCGGTAATCTGGACAAACGATCGCGAATCGTGCGAGAGACTTGATGGTTCGTTGTTGGCCTTACTTGGCGAGAGGTGGGGGGTGGGTGAGTGAGTGAGTGAGGGGGGGATGGACGAGATTCGCGGCACGCGCGCAAATTAACGCGTGGTTAGAACTCACCATTCCGGAATGCGGCGTACTGTCGTCGCTGTCCTCGCTGGTGGTGGTGTTGTTGTTGTTTGCCTCGGGGATGATCGCGCTCGATTGTATCGCCGACGGACTACCACCCGTTGGACTTCTATACTGCATTTGTTGCTGCAGCTGTTGTTGCTGTTGACTGTGCATGTACTGCATATGCTGCTGCAACTGCGCCTGTTGCTGCTGCTGCTGCTGCTGTTGCTGCTGTTGCTGCTGTTGTTGTTGTTGTTGTTGAATCAACATTATTTGTTGACTGCCGTGCTGCTGCTGCTGCTGCTGTTGCTGCTGCTGCCTCGGTGAATTCATGCTCGCGTACGAACCTTGCGAGCTATTGTACGTCGAGCTAAAGAGATGGGGGGGGGGGGGAAATCGCAGAGAAAAGAAAGTAGTGAGTTAACGAGGACCTGTCACGAGTTAGTCACGCGAGCCGAGCCGATCGCAACGTCGCTCCGACTCACCCGACGCTGATCGGCTGTTGCATCGTGTGCTCCTGCTGCAGGTAGAGGGGCGGCTGTTGATATCCTCCTGGGTCGAGATTCAACCCGTCCGACGATTGTTGCATATTGCCGGTTTGCATCATCTGCGATGCAAAAGCGGGTTCGGTGAATGCGCGCAACGCCGCCGCTGTCTCCTTCTCCTTCTTTCTTGTTCCTTTCGACAACGCGTTTACTTACCTGCGTTTGGTAACCGTGCATCGGATCGTGCTGAGACTGAGCTTGAGCCTGTTGATGTTGCTGGTGTTGCTGCTGCGACTGTGGCGGTTGTTGTTGTTG